CCCCGAAGACAATAAGATGGAGTTCCTTGTAAAATCGGAAAATGGTGGGACGAAACGCTTTCTCAAACATGCCGAGAAAGCCCGGCTCTTACCCACTGCCGCCCGCTTGACGCCCTCTCCCACCACCGTCGCCATTGAAGGACCGTATGGACGAATTAGGCCATTGCGCCAATTTGACAGCGTCGTTTTCTTCGCTGGTAGCAGTGGCGCTACTTTTACCGTTCCCCTCCTTCGAGATATCGTGTCTCAATGGACCTCGCCCAAGAAGCGGCATGGTTTTTTCGGTGCTGCAGAAGGCGCGGTGACGAGGCATGTCCGCTTCGTCTGGGTTGTCAAAAGCCGGGACCAATTGACTTGGTTTTCCGAACAGCTCTCGAATGTGATGAGTGATGCCAAATCACTACGCATAGACAATCACGATGTGGATGTCGAAATGAGTTTATATGTCACCTGTGACTCCTCATTCACAGATGAGCAGAAAACCTTGTTGGGTACAACTGAAGCTTCTGCCTTTCAAGAGCCGGAGAATCTGCATGAGGAAACCAAGAACTACCGTACGGAGAAACTCGAAGTCAAAGAAGTTGAGAGCAGCGCATCAAGTAGCATGACTGAAGCAGAAGAGAAGCCAGCTGGTGCGTGTGGGATAAACAGCACTTGCTGCTGTACCGGCACAGTCGAGAACGAAGATGATGCCATATCACCTGCTGTGTGCACTTGTAATTGCGGATCCTCTACATTAACGGCTTCGGTCTATGATTTAAATCCGAAACCAGCACCCGACAGCACACACTCACCATCCTCGGCTCCCGTCACTCCGGCAACTGCGGTGTCCACTTTGTCCCCCGCCATTTCGGTATTCTCCGGGAGGCCGCAGCCTAAAAACATCGTTAGAAAGGTTCTGGAACAGGCTTTGGGAGAGAGCGCTGTGGTTGTGTGCGGTCCGGCCGGTCTTGTGGATGATGTGCGGAATACTGTTGTACAGTTGAGCGATGAAAGAGCAATCCATAAGGGTACTGGTGCACAAGGAGTATACTTGCATACAGAGGCGTTTGGCTATTAGATTCTGCATCGCCCTGTCGGTTTCTTTGCAGGAACACAGATGCCAGACTGGTGATCTAGTAACTATGAGTATGTCTGGAGGTAGTCGAGGAATTTATTTATAGCTCGTTCTGGTTTTTGGTGTCGTATTCACTCTTGTTTCTGTCTGCCTAATGAATACTCCTATTAAGGATTTCAATTTTATTAAGATCCAAATGCACGCACAGGCTTGGCTTGTATTTCCATTGGCTAAATTAACAGACCAGAATGTCAACGCCTCAACGTCCAAGAGATGCAGATCAAACGCGCAATGCCATGCTTCCCGCCATTCAGTAAGAATGAAAACATATTCTAAATAGTCCCGCTAAGTACCAAGTTCCTCGAACTCCATCCAACCCAAACTCCAAGTGATCCAGTAGCGGGTAGCACCCAGTTCTGTCTCCTCGTATCCCAGTAGCTCAAATCTTTTCTTGACAATTCCACGCTGAGTCTTACAGAGTTTTCTTCGCTGCTCCCTAGTCCGGGCCCGGGCCCTATTGGCACCTTTTCAAACGCCCGCAGAACCCGAACCGGGAAGTCGATGACTTCTTTTGTTTCTGGGTCTTCGTACTGCTCCGGGAAAGATATATAGAGTTGCGGCACAGCTGTCCCAGGTACTGGTGTCAGATTGGTGATTGTGAATGATACGTTGGCGACAACGGTGTACAGATCCGGATTGCCCCCCTGAGCGCCACCGGCAGGCGATAGAGTAGCAGGTTCATCCCAACCATCAGGGTAGGGATATTTGCCAGGGGTGACTTCACCCTCATTGCTGATGTACGGGTAAATGTACTTCTTCAGCCTTCTGAACGCATCTGGGAAAACGGCATCCTTTGCTGCAGGTATCTGTGTACTGTAAGTTGGCGGGGCGGGTAAATTCTGACTGTTTGGGCGTGGGGCAGGCAACAACGTCTTTTTGGCAGGATCGACTGTGATCTGGAGTTCTGACAGATGGAAGTTGGTGTAGGACAGGCCGTATCCAAACTCATATCGCGGAGAAATTTGTCGCGCGTCAAACCAGCGGTAGTCCACGTAGATGCCTTCGGTAAAGTTCTGCTGCGGTACTACACCGTTTGGATAGTACATGATTTTACTCCCCGGGCCGTAATCGTTTTCATCTTTAGCGACCGTGTATGGCAGGCGGCCGCTGGGGTTGACGTCGCCGAAGATGATGTCGGCGATCGCATTGCCTGACTCCTCCCCAGGAAGATGAGCAAGCAATACAGATTTTACGTTGGGCAGCGAAATCCAATTCTCCAGGATCACAGGCCCAACTGCATGCACTACTACGACCACAGGAGAATCACCACCCCCACAGCGTGAGGCAACTGTCTTGACTAGAGCATCGCCGCCCTTCTGGGCGTACAGGTCATTGCGATCGCCATTAATACCGTCGCTGGAGATAAAGCCCTCGCCTGCATCACTGTTGATGAAGACGAAGCACAGATCCTGTTGCTCGAGGGCATGCAACCGTGATGCAGGTATATTGTTGGCCGCGAACTCGTGAATAATGACGGATTCATTGTTGAGCTCACGCTTGAGAGCCTCCAAGGGCGTGACGAGGTAAGGAAACTCGACAGCGCCGCTACCCCAGCCGGAGGCCAAGGTGCCTTCATTACAGCCGCGGTCTGCGCAACCGTTTGGCCCCTTGGGGTTGCCACGAGAATCCTCTCCGTAGATGCCAATGCGGAACTTGTAATCGGCGGCATCGTGTCGGAAGGAGGAGGCCACACTGGCCCCATCACGGCTTATTGGCAGCGTGTCGTTGTCATTCTTGACTAGAACTGTGCCCTCGGCCGCGATCCGACGAGCAAGCGTGCCGTGCGAGTCGTCGCCGCGGCCTTGGACGTCCTTGAACTTGTTGACCACGCCTGTCGTCCTGTCATCGCTGCCTGGGTGGAGCAGGCCGATGGAGTCGTTGGTCCACGAGGAAAAGTTTGGGCCGCCGCCGTCCTTGGGAAGGGGCCAGCGTGCGTTGTCGTCCTGGCCAAGCTGATACCAAGCTGCCACGATGCGCGTAGCCATGTCGTTGATGCGTTGCATCGGGACCGAAGTGTTGAGCACGGCTTTGGTGAGCTCGGCGCCCCATAGCGACTTTCCGTCCTGCCATCGAAGGCCATCGCCTGGCATGCTCATATCCAGTCCCGCCAGGGCGCTCGCCACGCCACTCCGCTGCGCCAACCAGTCGGACTGGATGTAACCCTGGAATCCCAGCTCATCTTTGAGAATCCCGTTCATGAGCTTGCTGTTCTGGCATGAGTAAGAATTGTTGACCTGGTTGTAGGCACACATGACCGAGGCAACACCAGCACGGATGCTGTCGGCGAAAGGCCATGCGTACAGCTCGTGCAGTGTTCGGTCGTCGATGTTGGACGAGATGGCGTTCGGGGTCCCCCATTCGAACGACTGTCTGAAGTGTTCTTGCTCGTTGCCGACAAAATGTTTGGCTGTCGCCATGACTCCCTCGCTCTGTATTCCTGCGATTGTCCACGCCGCCGCTAGACCCTGAAGTACCGGATCGGCTCCAAAGCCTTCCCAGTTCCTCCCTCCAGCCGGCATTCTCCCAAAAGGGCCCATGCTCGGGCCAAGCAGGACGTTGACACCTTTCAACCTCGCCTCCATCCCCAGCGCTCTGCCGCGCTCGTACATCAGCTGTTTGTTCCATGTCGCGCCGACTGTGATGCCCGCGGGGAATGCCGTGCTGTGGTCTGCGAATCTAAGCCCAAGAGGCCCATCCTGCAGACACAGACTGGGAAACCCGAGTCTGCCGACGGCGCCCGTGTTGCCCACACACATGTCCATCATCCAGCCTGTTCCTGTCGTCACGTTGACCTTTTCAACCAGTGTCATCTGTCCGACCAGCTCTGCAGCCTTTCTGTAGCTCTCCTCCCACTTCCAATCTGCGCCGCCCAGAGGTGCCGGATACCAGGGCGGACTGCGCCCGTCGACGGGTGCGTTCTTCCACGCCCATAGTCCGCCAGCTGTCAGGAGCAGGACGGTCGTGATGACGAACAACAGGACCAGCCAACACCATGATCGCCCAGGGAGGCGGCTCCAGAACTTCGGCCAAGGCCGTTGCGATCTCAGCCGACTGGGAGTGAACGCGTCCCCGACGGCACCAACAGTACTCTCTGTTCTGGGTCTCCTCCGCTTGGACTTGGACTTCTTCCGTTTCAGTGTTCCGCCATCGTAGTTTAGAGGGTCGAAATCTTCGATATCTTCTTCGTCGGATGAGGTTGAGGAATAGTATGCGTTATCGAAAGGAGGGCGAGGTAGTCTGTCAGCTTCATCGACATGATTGTTGGGGTCCACGGCCGTGTATTTGCCGCGCAGCTCGTAGTCGTCGGGCATTGGAGCCTTTCCCACCTCTTTCGTCAAGTGCTGGAGAAAGAGTTTGCAGAGCGATGGTGCATTCAAGCAGTCCGAGTTCAGCTTGTTAGGGTCACCGTGATTCTCGATGCCTGGCGTTTCAGGTCCGTAACATGGCACCTTAGTCCATAACTGATATCTGCGATCGCTACTGCCTTGGTTGAGTCTCGATGTTGTATGTGGCAGGGTCTCGCGTTCGGTACGAGGGATGAATCAGGTTCGTGGTCTTGACACGAGTAGCTGTCCGCTGCCATGGGCCGGTTGAGGTGACGAGGTGTAGATCGAGGGTAAATTCGCCGAAGCTATTCGTAATTCTGGAATTCCGGGAACGGCCCAAGTGTGCAGCCCCCTGATCTCCCACCTGGCATGCACAGGAATAAACCCCGCAGCAGCAGCCAGTCAAATGAGATCATCGCAGCGAGTACCGCCTCCGGGCATGCTGCGTTTGGTAGTAGCAAACGCGAAATGAGAGCCAGACGACATATGGAAGCCAAAAAAGGGGAGGGGGGGCAAAATGAATCAAAAACATCATGGGTGGGATGTGCAAAATGAAACGCCCGACGTGAGGCTCGAACTCACAACCTTCCGATTGGTCTCGCAGTAGCGATAAAAGTCGGATGCTCTGACCAATTGAGCTAGCCAGGCAGGACATTTCATACAAGGAACTGAGGTAATTATGTATATATTCATATATTATGTCACCCAGAGTTTATTTTCTGACAATTAGAGCTAATTAGTTTAGCTTAAAGAAATCTACTTAATTTATAGTTATATAAGGAGGAAAAGCTATATAGTAGCTATATAAAAAGGAGTAAGTATAAGAGGATAGAGTAAGGTAGGTATTATATACTCTACTAGTAGTTAAAGATATAGATAAAAGTAGTTATACATAGAGGAAAAAGCTATCTAGGAAGCTACGTAGATATAATTAAGGGGGCCTAGTACTCTTATAGAGAGGAGTAAGTACCCTATAACCTAGTTACGTATACTTAGCCTCCTTCTATCTAATATGTTAATTAATTAAAATACGCCCCTATACTACTAACTAATAATAAGGTTAGTAGTATAGCTTAAAAAACCTCTATACTCTACTAACTTATAGTAATCCTATAAGTAGATAACTATAAGGGGAATACTTATATTACTAACTAAGTACTCCTCTATAAATAAGAAGGTTACGATAAGGAGTAAAAAGGTATTATAACGAGCGAAGGAAAAAGGGGATCCTACTACTACCTATACGTCTTACCGGGCTTTACCTATAGGGTCTTTAACCCGTAATATTACTCCCCCCCCTCTCTCCCTCCCCCCTCTCCTAAGAGTTATCTATCTATATAGCCTAGGTATAGCCTTAGGCCGTAATATTCGTTCGAGGCTATAACTCTTAGAGTTCTAACTTTACTAACTCGACTTTACTAACTTTAGTATAAATACCTCTCTATAGCTCGATTCCTCTATTCCTCTTTTTATATCCTACTCTAAACCTCTACTCCCTCTCTTATCCGCTTAGTTATAGCGCCTCCTATCCTACCGGGTACCGTAGTTCCTACTTATACTAACGATATCGTTACTATACGTCCTTAGGAAGATCTTCCGGATACTACTACTCCTCCTTAATTTAACGCTCGCGGTTATCTAGTTATTATTACGGAGTAATACTAATAGAGACGTTATAAGCGAGTTAGGTAAGGACGCTACGGACGTTATAGACATTACGAGCGAGTTAGGTAGAGATTAGATTAGATTATTAGCTAGCCGAGGTAGTCTATATATATAGTATATATAACCTTCTATCGCGCGTAGCCTCCTACGAGGTTCTATAGCTAGAACCTCGTTATTAATCTTATCCTTTACTCTATCC